CCCTTAATCCTCATTTTATTTGTTGTTACTAAATCTTAGGTCAAATCAGACATCGGCGATGACTCATTGGTATATAAAATATTTGTAAATATTTAAATGTTAAAAGAAAATATATATAATTAACCGTTAAACCAAAAAGTTATAATTGATAATGAAGAGGATAAAATCTGAAAAAAGAAGTCGCATGAATTTAGAAAATATGGTTTTATATGAGAAAGATAAAATCTTATCGGCTACATAAAAGAAATTGGGAGTTATATAATAAATTTGGCTGTATATGGTTTACATACCACTGCATATTCTTTTTTGAGAAAGGACATACCTGGTGGAATTATTATCTGGGATCCGAGATCCGATCTGTTATCCGTTCGTAATCGCTCCGAAAATTAGGATATTCGGGGAGTTCGGATCCGGATAAAGATAATATAATTTAGGATTCGTGAAAAGAGGATCCGGATCCGGATAGCAAAATTTTAAGGTTCGGATATCCGGATCCGGACGCATTAAATATATTAAAACCATATATTATATATCTATTAAAGTAATTTTATATAAATAAATATATATAAAAATTGATTTTAGTTCTCTTTATAATAAATTATATTTATAATGAAAAAATACCATTTAAAATATTAACTAATAATTTTTAAACATATATTTTTTATTTATTTATTAATTATTTTAATTATTTTAATATTAATTTCGGATCCGGATCCGGATATCCGCGGATATCCTGATTTTTGGAAAGATTCCTAGAATCTGGATATCCGGAGGTCACGATTCCAGATCCAGATAGTTTTTTCACGGATCCGACGATTCCGGATCCGAATTCGGATACTCTGAAATTCCAGGATATCCGGAATCGTCCCACCCCTAATACCCACTGCATTGAGATTAAAAGAAAACAAAAAGAAGACAAAAATCTCTAACAATAGTTTCGTCCACTCAATTTAGTAAAAAAATATACACATAAATGCACATGTACAAAAATTTGTGCGAGCCATATGAATATCACATGGAGTAATTCGACTTATCAGGAAATAAGTAGTATCTACCCTTAATTTAGAGGACGTCCCATCAATGAAAATTTGGTTTTAAACCTAATGTAAAAGGGACAGAAAAGACCACATCACTGGCACGACCAATCTCCTTCGTATTAATTTCATACAATATATACATTTTTTATATATATCTCATGATTTTTGTTGCTAAGAATATATCTCATGATTCAAAACAAAATATATGTATTAAATAAAAAACATATGGAAAAGGACTTATCTTTAACTACTTCATAGCTCAAACTAGATCGGAAGAATGCCAAGGACAACAAATGGTGGCACCTAGTTGAGGAAATCTTTTTAGATTTTATATGGAGAGAACAAAGATTTCCCTAAACTATTATACATTAGTTCTCGAAACAAGACAAAAATGATAATTATATAACTATATGTAGGGTCCATTTCTCTCCCTATATTATCATGCCAAGCAAAATGCAAATTAACTCAAAACCCCACGTGTCTTGGATTCATAGATTAACTATCTTAACGTTTTGTGAGCCAATGGTTTGATTTTGGTTTGTTGATAGAGACCGCTGATTTCGTACGGTTCGACAGTTGGGCATTTGGCGGTTGACATTCAAGCGCTTAGCATTTGATTGAAGCCATTGTTTGGCGGTACTATTTCTCAAATGTAGTCTAACCATTAGGTTTTGCGCACTAATATTACCTAACAACGTAATCACGTATTCAAGTGTGGTTAATCAACTTATTAGAGTGGTTTTAAAAAACGTTGCTGGACCCGAATTCGAAAACTAGGTTATGTATTGTATTTAGAGAGGAGATGATTCACGTTTGTGGTCAAAGACTTGTCTCTAGTCCAAAGAAATTACGATAAAACATCCATAACTTCTTAGTTAACAAAAAAAAACACAACAATAATATAGTCACGAAAAGTAAAAGTAAAAATAATGTAAACAACGAATGGTAATAATCATTAAAAAGAAACACAATTTCACTGAACAGTCAAGAAATTGAATAATTTATTTTATATCCTAGTATTAATTTTATGAGATAACGAAATGACTTCACATATATTGCTATTCGATATATGTGATCAAACCGACGATCAATCTCCCTAGCTAGCTAGCTACACATCTCTTGGATCCACAAAGAGTGACGACCCCGAGTTCGAACCCAAGGGCATATTGGTAAATTCACTCAGACCAGCCATCTTCTCCTCACATTTCAACGGCTTGATACACCACGTGTCATCATCACACGAAAGCATTTTCCAATGCGGAACACATTTCCGCAAAAGAGAATGATGATCATCATCATCCCCGTCGACCTCCACCACCACGACTTTACACGCACCACCGTGATTTGACGACGCAGCTATGTTATGAATATGCTCACACAAAGCCCTAACGAGTTTCCCACGTAACGGACCTTCCATGTGAACCCCATAGAGGAAATAAAACCCAAACGGAGTAAACAAATCAGGAAATCCCAAGAACGGCAAGAATCCACCGAGAAAGTTGCAAACTTTGGTGAGAATCAAATAGCTTAAAGGAGCTTTTCCGATCCTGAGTTTGAACACTTTGCTACTGTCCCACACACTAACTATTGCCCAGCTTTCCATGTTGTCCACGTCCTTGTTGTAATAAGCCAACCATGTCCCGATACTTAACTTGTTCCCTAAGATTTTGTCTATGTCCTCAGGGAAAAACTCTGTCGTTGATGCCACGTGTCTCCGGTACCATGACGCAGCTTCTTTCACCTGTCACTTAAAATTATTGATATTAATTTCATAATCTTCTCCATGTGAGCCTGCTCTTAACGATCAACATATTGGGTGATTAAATTAGATAATCTACACGTTTTTTTTTATTAATGTTACACGTAAATTTCAACTCTAAAAGTATAAAATGTAAATGACCATACACTAATTTATATATATCTTATTTGTTTTTGCAACTTTCGTTATATCATTAATCTATGCATATATGATATAATTTCCGTATATATTTTCTATATTTTTATTCTGGATTGAGACTTGCAAGTCTCTCCATTAGACCATATTAAAGGTTTCTCCCAACCGAAAATTGTATTAGACTACTCACTCTTTTGGAGGATCTTACGGTCACCACTAACCTAACATTTAGTTGGTTAAACGTCTTAAATTTTATGAAGAATTTTTTGGTTTAAACTCAATATTGTGATATAGTAGGAAAACCATTTGAATTTTTTGAAACTAATGCAATGTGTAGTGAAATCACCTTTAGCTTCCTTATTCCGATATCAGAAGGAAGTTTCAAACCCCGAGCACGATTGACCGGGTTGACGAGAATCGTCGGGTTTCTGAAGATGACATAGCCATGTCTTCCGACGAAGAGACCAAGAGAGGCCTCATTGTCCTTTTCAGTAGCCATGTAAGCAAAGTCAGCATTGTGAACTACGAACCATTCCTCCATCTTTCTCACCAGAATCGAACCAATGCCACGACGTCGATACGGCGGGACAACTCTCAGACCAAGAACGTAACCCACTTTCACTGACTTGTCATGGAACTTCACTGGCTTTACCGAGCCTTGTATGGAACCCACCAGCTTCTTCCCAACTTCTGCCACCTATTAATTAAGTTGCCTTCGTTAAATATACGTTTATAACAAATCAAATACTTAACTAATTATTTGGGAGCTCTTCTAACATATAAACCCATTGAAAATTTTATATTTAAAAAAAAAAAGTTGCTTTATTGTCCATATTTCACCAATACTTTTTAACATTTTTACGTACATAAATATATTCACATGTCTCATAGTTTTTTCCTTTATAAATTTTACTCTTTTTAAAAAAGAAAAGAAAAAGAGAACCATCTCCATATTTTCGTTTAATTTTATTTAAATCAATGAATAATTAAGAGTTGTAGAAGAAATTAAAAGAGAGATAGAGATAAATTAACCAGCATAGTGAAGAGAGGAGTGTTTCTGATTCTGCAGATGGGATCACCTAAAGTGTCAGTGAAGAGAAAAGTTTGGTGGTCATGACCAATCTCACAACTTTTCTCCACACAATCCATTTCAATTCTGTCCCTACGATCATCATAGCATCTGATCGTCACCTCTTCATCATCTTCTTTCCCCCATTGCCCCACCATTTTTACTGACAC